TTATGAGATACTTTATATTTTATTGGTTGTAAAATAAAAGTTTTTCAGCGCGTGTTCGCGAGTGGCGCCCGGGGCGACAAGATATGCCGTTACATATATGACACGTCTACGCAACAAGGATATCAGATGGTTATCAATAGGGTGTATAAGCGTGGGATTTCACGGTCAACACCCGCAATAAAACTTATTGTTAACTCTTTTTTCTCAAAGGGTACGAGAGAGATAGCAAGATGTTTTTCATACTAGCGTCCGGCTATACAAACCTACTTTAAACCAACAACTGGGCAGAAATGTACCGTAAATGTTCCTTGATCATTATCTTTAATTATATTTTTTACAAACTCTATAAGGAATGTGTTAGAATTATTCATTGAGTAAATTCTAGTTAGCTTTCGGTTGCCAACTGTTGGATTTTAGCGTCAATTTATTTGGCTTTGATTGCGTAAATTCAATTTGATACGGTTGGTGCTAAATATTTCAAATTTAGTTATAGAAACGATTTATGGTGACTGAAATATTTTTAACTCAATAATGCAAATAACTTAATGTGAAAGTTTAGATGGATGGTTGGATTGATGTTTGTTAGAGTTTGTAGCCTAAACTGCTGAACGGATCCTAATGAAATTTGGCATACTTGGTTTTATTTTTTTTAATACCACGCGGACGGAGTCGCGGGTGAAAGCTAGTATGTTTACATTTATTTCAAAGAATTAGACTGTAGATAAAATTTCTGTAATTTCGTATTATAAATCTCGCTTATTCATTAATCATTTGGCAGTTTGTCGTACTTATCTAATGAATGCTTAGTTAAAATATGAGATAGAGACAAATCGATTGAAATTGGTGTATACTCGGCTATAAATACAGTGGCAACTTTTTGCGATTTATTACAATTGTACAATATTCTAACTAGAGAAGTCAGTATAATAATTAAAATAGTAAATCTCGAGATGAGCCTAAAATAAAAGTACTATAGAACTATAATTGTAACAACAAAACTTTTGTCTAAACGGAAAACTACACGACTGGCTAAGTCTTGCACAAAAGATGCAATTTTTCACCGAAAGATAAAGTCCCGCCCGCGACAGGCAAGTTAAGGAGCTGTCCTATTAGACTTTGTTTAGTCCAGACCACCATGCTCGGGTATTTAGTTTCATTGATATGTCTTGTTGCGAAGCCGGACATTTGTAAGTGTTCTTAATGCGCCGATTACGGTTAAGTACCCCCATGTGTTTAATGTCTGAAATATCACAAACTAAGTGTTCGGGTCCTCAGTTATTCAAAACGTCTGAGTTTGTCGTGATGCTCGCGATTTCTCGAATCTTACTATTTCGTTAAAAGTTCGTGGGAACGATTTATTTGTGGATATTCCTTATTTTCCATTTAGCTTAAGCGTGACTTCATAAAATATCATTGTTTAAAACACCAAAATAAACCCCTCGAGCTTGAGTTTATATTCAAATTAGCGTATAAGGTTCGGATTATTGGATAGGATATTAACGAGTGTAATCCACAATGTGTTCGACCGCTGAAATTGTAATATTTGACACTTTTTCAAATTATATTCTCTGCTAAATTGATCATCTAAATTCTATGCAATACAATTAACATGAAATATTGAGTAGATATATAAAATTGCTTAAATAAATCTTGATCGCTGAACGGTACATTCATTCTTAGCAACAAAAGTATATGAAAGTACTTTAGTCTATCGTGTACCCTTTGTTAGTACGGTCTATTGCATCTGGGATGACCATTTATTAATTGGACATATTTGGACAACGGCTCGGACGTGATAAATATCCCTATAGAAATAAGATGTCGCTCAAAAGACCCTGTTAGTCTCGCTTGTAAATACGAGCATATCAATCGCATTGTACTTGTATTATGTGTAAGGCATGCAATTATCAACTTTATGATATGTTGTTTTAAAGTCGAGAGTTATACACTGAGATAATGAACAAAATAAAGAGTTTATCGTCTAAATGTAAAACGTCCTATATGAAATAAATAATGTGTAAAAATTATATTTTATATAGTTTCTTTACTATTTTGGCTTTTTTAACTTCTATAAATGTTGTAAATTTGAAACAATCCGAACTGCGCTAACAATGATCTACTTATACACTCCATACAAATAAAGTCCGGTACCGCAAAACAAAACAAAGTCGTTATTTGCACTAAAGCCCGCTATACACGCTCACTTTTATCTGAATAGACCGATCCTGCAGATAAATCTAACGTGTGTAAGTAAACTGACTACGATCGGTCTGTTCGGATTACTGAACGTGTGTAGCGGGCTTAATATCACAATTCAATGTATTGTCGCATCACTAGTACCACAACCTAACGCATTACACAACCACAATTCAAGTACATAATTACGCGTATCTTCGCCACAAAATATAGTAGTTACACAACATACATTACGTCAGATGTAGTGTATATTTGAGTCTAATATGTTATTTGTAATATTGCAATATTATAAGAGACCAATTAACTGTTATCTACAGATCAATAACTATAGATGTTTATGTACTAAAATTTATTCGTAATCATAACTTTACTAGTCTTTGCCCGAGACTTCGTCCGCGCGGAATTTACTTATGTGTTCTTTCAGTCTGTTTACTACATCTATACTAAATTCCATTTTAGAGATACCTTGTGATAAACATTCATCCATCCATAAACTTTAGCTATTACAAAATTTGTATATTATGTTTACATTATTCCAGTACAGCGATTCCATTGTTGAATTATAACACGACAAATGTAAATTTATCTTCGAATGCATGATGTGATTTCCAGTGTGCGCTTACATTTTTCCAGTTGCACTATAAGTTGACTGGAATGATGTAAACTGGGCTTAAAATAACAGTAGAAAATTTGTTTTTATGTTTATTTAATTGTACATGTGTACAATAGTGGTAACCCACTTTCATAAATTAGTTCCATATGATTTCTTAATAAAATAGCGATTGAAATAAAAAAAAATTTCTTTCATAACTTTGCAGGAAACGACATTTTTCCTTGATATAATTTGCAACGTAATAGCGAAGAAAAGTAGACATAGCCACAGCTTAGCCAATTAACAAGCCTAACTAAAGATAATCGGAAGAAAATAGGCCACTTCTTGTTTATTTACAACCATTGTTACAGACGTAAGACAGAAACACGTTACATTTTGTATACATATACATATACACTACATGTTTTATACATAGGGTTACCTCAAGATATTTTAAATCCTATTCTATGCTTTAAATAATAAAAAAAAATAAACAAAATAGAACAAAACACATAAATACAAATGTTCATTACACAATGTACCGTACGTAGTCATCTCTATATGATATATGTTTCAACAATGGAAACTCGCAGTTTGAATGTCCGAGACATAAATGTCGTGCAACAATAGGGTAAGAATTGTCAAGGATAACTGACGATCGCTAATGTGTTCGATACTAGACGCGGTCGCCTCGCGATTCATATCAACGATATAGTGCTTGATATCAATTAGCTAAAGGTTTTAGGGTTGACTTCCATTGCTTCTGACAGTTAGTCATTATAATACTACTTTACATGGTTTCACGATTTTAAAACTTTTAAAACGAAACTTTGTAGTGAAATAATTGCGTTTAGAAGTTGCAAAATTTTCATGTATCTATATTTTTAATTTTTAACTTTATAGTAAAGTACGCGATAAGTAAGCAAGCAATTTACAAAGAAACATAACCATAGACGTTTTGATTAATTATCTCTGATATCTACAACGGAAAAAACACAGAACCTTCGTATATTTAACCGTTACTTCTATGTACTAAGAACATATAGTAACATCGACAACCCTGTCAATTACAAAGAGTTAGAGCACTTTCAAAGCGATGTATCGATTCTAAATTCGTTATCTAGTTCAGCGGAGAGCAAATTTAATGAATAGAATCGAATAACTTACAAGGCAATCGGAATAATCGGCACATAGTAATCAGATTGTAATCGATTCACTCGATTTATAAGGATCCGAGTTGTTTTCTTCATCGATACATTTAGATACTGTTGCTAAGCTTTACTATTGTAACTAGTATCTTATAACATTGAAATGTAACTCGCAAAGCGCTTAAATGACATGCAATTTGATGTTTACCAGCAAAAATACAGTTTTTTACACATATTTCAACGTAAAAAGCAGTTTTACTAACATGATTCAATAATCAATATTCACAATTTTGAGATCAGTACAAGTAGGTTAAAAAGGATTGGACAAGTGCTATGCATCGTTAATTTCAAAGTGCCTTAATTAAACTATGGACTTAGGCACTGTATCTGGTCTTCAAATAAAATATTTACCTATGAATATTTATGTTTAACATTAAACGGAATATCTGTGTATCAAATGTAGCAGCAAATTCCAACCTCTCCTAAAAATTATGCACAGCAAATTACAACGAACTATAAATTATAGCGCGCGCATATTTCATTCAAAACATTAATAATAAATTCAATGTAATTAATACGCGGTCGGCACTTTTGAAATTTCAAATGATGTTTGTTTTACTAATGCATATAAGTAACAACATATAAAATCAACGATGTTGCTCACGTATCGTCCGCTTGTATTAAAAATAAATAGAAAAAAATACAGCGTTTTTACTTCCTGAATGAACTTTTTAATGGTAACAGAATTTTTGAAATATGTCCTACACAAATCTTTCCTCTTTATATTAATACTAAATTTCGCCTGTGACTCGTTCGCGTGGAATAAAAAAAAAAACAAAACAAAGTAGCTTATGTGTTCTTTCAGACTAACCTCTGCATGCATACCAAATTTCATCAAGATCTGTTCAGCCGTTTGGGCTACAAGCTTTAACAAACATCCATCCATCTAAACTTTCGCATTTATAATATTAATATTAAGTATGATAGAAATGACATTAAATAATTTGTACGTTTACATTTAGATCTTCATTTGGAACTAGATATAAATTAAATAACTTGGTTACCTTGTTGCTTAAAAGCAGTAATGGCATGTGGGATCCCCTCCCACGGCCGTGGTAAATCCAGGAACACGGCGTCCACTTTCCCATTCAAATCCGAGCCAAATCCATCGGCTAACACATCTCTATGTTGTATCTATAACGATCGAAACAAGAAGAATATTAAACGTAGGATTGGAAAAACAATAATAATATAGAAAAGAACATGCTGGGGCATCTACGTCACGACAACTGTATAACCATCATAATAGAAGTAAAAATAGAAGAAAAAAATGGAGAAGTCTAAATATATCTTACTAAATATATAATTTGCAAATTTAGTTGGATGGATGTTTGTATGAAAGTATCACCGGAACTACTCAACGGATCTCGATAAAAATTAGCACAGATGTAGAACATAGTTTAGAAGAACGGAGTCGCGGACGACAATGATATATCATAATATACAAAAGATAAAGAAAAAAGCATTATATGAGGGGTGAAGAGGATGGCACAAGACAGGGAGAACGGGAAAACGCTTTAATAGGTTAAATTTTTATATTGTCCATATTTGAATTATGCCGGAAAGGTAACAGATAAAGAATTTAACTATCAAATTATAGAGGCTAAGTTCACACTGTGATGTGTTCGATAACAAAATGTTTCGATATAGTTGAATCACTCCCGAAGTATTCAGCTTTTAGAACATTTAAAATGTTACTCTTATCATAAAGTGTATCGAAGTATTGACTTTTTAATGCGTGTTTCTGAGAAAAAAAAAATCCTTTCGAAATCAACGTCAAGCCTTGTCACCTTAAATGTCTTGACCTTGAGTCTAATAAGATTTGCATTCTAAAAAAAAATCGACTTTAATTTATCTGCTTATAATTGTTTATAATGGTGTAAGTTACTAATGCTTATATTTCAATCACATTAATAATGGGGTTAGCCAAACCATAACAGGCCACAAAATACGTCATGAAAAATATTTCACAATAAAATTCGACAGTATACCGAATGCTTTACGCACTAAGCGGCTTTTTTTTGCATATCTGCGGTCGTTCATAAGTTCCGGTTTCTGTTATACCACAGAGCAAAATTACCAAAACTTCCGGTTAAACGAATAGTCTATATGGGGCCTTATACTACTTGTGCTAAATAGTATTTAGTTGACATATTATGGAGCGCAGTATCTGCAGTCGTAACCAATTTGCACGTATATGGATACAGAAGAAGCGTGAAACATGTTAATATAGGGCCAAATGTTTTTAGAATGTCTATTCACCCCATTGGATTACAGGTGTGCATACTTACAGTAACAAAATCTTCCAGGCCATGTTCTTTGAACTCGTCCCTGGCTACATTTGTCCTATGCTCATGGAAGTCGAATGTATAGACATGGCCGTGTGGACGTACTCGGCGGATGAGAGCGTGGGTGAGAGACCCACTACCAGTACCTGTGTAATTATGAAATAAGAATATTAGAATTATATCAATTAATAGAAATTGCAAATGAGAATATATTGAAACAACTAACGCTGGTTCTTGCTAACAATTTTTTTATGCTTGTGTGGTTAACATAATTTTATGTAAGGATTTTTATTAGAAACTAATATTGTTAAGAGGAAAGATTTGTATTTTGTTTTCATTGAATAGGCTCCAAATTGCAGGAGAATTAAAGTTAGTAAAATCTTGTATGAATATTAAGATTTTATAGTTTATTACTTAAAGTACTGTGTTTTAAAGCATTTTAAAGAAAACAACATACCAGCTTCAACAACAAAACTGCCTGGTACCAAGTCTAATTGCATTAATATCATACTGATGTCTGGTGTGTAGATAATTTGTGTGCGATGTGGTAAGGTCAGAGACCACAGCTCTGGGTTTGGTTGTAGCACATGACACCATCCTTTGGGTAAATCCACCTGCCGTCAATAATAATAAGAGAATTATTAATTAAAACAATGATTATTATTACAACAATCAATGCAATGTTACTCTTAAAATTGGTCTTATAATTAGAACAGGAAAAAAAATATGTTTAGATTATACAATATAAAATTATATTAATATATCCTACTGCTAATATTCACACATTACATTTATTTGAACAAATTATTAATTACACTAAGAAATTAATGTTTTTATTAGTAAGGTTTTTTTTTTTTTTTATAACATAAGGTGGCAAACGAGCAAGCGGCCACCTGAAACCGCTGCCCATAGACATCCGCAATTGCAGATGCGTTGCCTACCCTTATACGACGGAGGAGGAGACGCACATAAAGAGGATATTTCCCCTTCCTATGCATCTCCTCCACCGTCAAATCCACTTCCTCTTCCCAACCTCTCCTTATAGGAAAAGGGTGGTAAAGAGAAAGGGACTTAAATTAGGGCTCCGACACCAAACTCATCAGACGAAACACGGAATTGCTTCCATTTCACGCCTATCTTCTGTGTGGTCGTGGTATTACATCGGGCGTGCCGGCCCATTCGTGCTAAGATGTTAAAGCGGGCACTACCACTGTTAGGTCTTAAAAAAATGTGACATAATTATTGGTATGATGTATTGTGTGTCCATCAGGTCTTTCTATTGTTTTATTTTAGTAGTATTCAGTTGCATTTGCATTTTTTGCAAACTTTTATTCGCTATAAAATCCTTATAGCATACTATTGCGAAATTTAGTTAAAAGAAGCCACCTTACCCGGCTTCCGTAATCGGTTCCTATAAGACTTTTAACCTTCAGGGCACCATAAGGTGTCTGATACACATTTTCTATCATATCACCTTTCCTATTTTTTATTTCAGGTCTCACTTCTAAAGCATACAAATTACTGCTTAAGTGTAATATTACAGTGTCCCCTTCGTCAATTTTCTCTTTATAGTTTCTGAAACTCATTTTGTTTTCGGTAAGTTTTATAAAATATTAACTTTTCGTTTGTAAACACTATTTACATTCACATGCGGGTTTGACATTGACAGTTGCAGCTGTTTGCGTTCTGTGTTAACCAGGGAATTCCATTTTTTTCTGGAATTCTAGTCAACATTGTAAACCTTTCGTGGTATTACGATGTGGCTTAAGTTTATGAGAAATGTTGTGTTTACAAATGTTTTGATAAAAAAACGATATAGATAAGCCAATATGGAAGTCGTACAACTTTAAAATTATGATTATTCGTGTGGTAGTTAAATAATTTTCTGTAAAACGTAGTGATTTTTATCTGTCAGTTGCATGCTAATTTGCTATTGTCATTGTCAAAAGTAATGTCGCTGTCTTACAGTGTTGCCAATACTACCACAATTGCCATGTTCCACGGCTTTCAGGCCACCAAATTACAAAATCTACGAGTTGCTGCCGCAAACCTAAGGCCGTAGCGGATTCTACGACTTTTCGAATAGTAATTCACCGTTGATCTTTATCCATATAAACATCATTATAATTTCCTCTGCCTTATTCCAGTTTTATGTTTTTCCATGCAAACATGGATTTTTAATCAATGTACACGGCTGAGTAAAAATTCTCACTGGCAACATTGCTTTCGCTGTGTCTTCGATTTTTGCGACTTGTATTTTACTCAATAGTCGTATTAAAATCCCATTTGGTTTTTAATTAACGTTATTAGAATGTGAATTCATAAAAAATCAGTGAGATATAGCTATGTGAAATCATATTGAACTACTCCAAAACTGATACTAGTAAATTTTAAATATGGATGCTTCAAAAACTACAAGTAAAACCAGCTCGCTAAAGGCGCTAATCCTGAAAGCCTGGCGCGAAAGATGGACTGATATACAATGGGGAATAAATATAAAAACTATTCTCCCCAGAGGAGTCAGTGGGGACTTATACAATTTAGCAGACTGCATTCTTCAGCAAGCTATGGTTGGATGCGGCGCAAATCAACTGGTAATTTCATATCTCAAGCATTCTTTAGCTTCCCATTTAGTGTCATATGCTGCTGTCTTACAAAGAATTGCAAAATTTGATGCTTTTCACAAGCCTTACTGCATTTTAAGCTTGCTTGAATTCTTGGAAAGCTTACTTGACAGTGTAACTTGTCGAGGTAAAATGGAAGAAGAAATCTTAGCATCAGCAGTCTCCTCAATTATATTATGGCTGCTTCAAGTTTATCATTACTCTTTGAGTCAGTACCAGGCAACTAATCCAATACAAAGTCAAGAGTTACTCGAGTTGTCTACAAAACTTTTGAATTCCATTGTAAACACAGACTTTTTACTAGCCATGCTATATCTGGCTAAACAGAATGATCCAGAAGAGTATGATAAAGTTACTACGAAGTGTCAAGAAATAACAGCATTTATGATGATGAATACACAGTTCAAAGCACCACTTCACATTCATGAGACATTACAGAAGATTTGTAACATGTCTCTTGACAAAATTGCTCCTTTAAATAACAATTCGGATTCACCAACATGTTCCATTCAAGCTTTGATTTCAATAAACATTTTGGCAACTCCTAGTATGGACCTACAACAGCTTTCTAGTCAATTGCTTATGATACAAAGAATAAAAGGCTACTCTTTGTCCAGACTGTACAGTGAATTAATAAGAGCTAGTTTTATTTCTCTAAATGACTCCTGTAAGGATACTTGTAGACAGGCAGTGTGGGCGGCATTTACATTTTTGCGAGTTCCTCAAGTAATACACTATATACATAATACTTGTGGAACTAGTAACAAAGATGCGGAACACTCTATGGAAGTTGTGGAAGCGTTTGAAAGGCTATTGCAAGCAAGCCCTCTACTGGATATTGTTGACAATAAAAATTCCTGCAACTGTGTTATTTCACTTTTGGAGCAATTGTTAAAGTTAAATATGGTTTCTGAAAACCACTTATCTTACTTCAAGCAAAAACGTGAGAACAAGGAGTTTAAATTACTGAAACTGGAACCGACAGCACTCCAAGGATGTGTACCATCATTTATTACCCGAGCTGAACCGACATTAGCTGGCATTTTGAAAACAATGGGCGGAGATTTTCATAAAACACAAGAGTCTTTGTATGCTATGTTGTGCCAAATTGTTGGGGGTACAACTTTAGATACAATTTTAGCTGTGGCAATGGTGGAAGGGAAATTAAAATTGTTTGTCTCTAGACTCATTAAATTTAATGAACTTGCTTTACTTGCTGCAAGTGAAAAGGGAGCTTCTCCAACTAAAGCATATACTTTTGACATTTCCTTTTTGATCCTCTGTTCCATAGTACAAGAACATGGAGTTGAAGCTGTGTTGGATGATAATGGAGATTCCTTTTTTGAACAATGGGTTCGTGACTGCATGGTCCATAAAGGAGTGCACAAATCACCAGAGCAAATACAACAGAAGTGTGATCCTCAGATTGTGGATATTTTCCTGCACCATCTTAGTGCACCAGATTTTGATTTTAAAAATACAAATTTAAAACCCCATGATCTTTGTTTAAATGTGAGTGGTGTAGTGAAAGAGATTTTATTTGCATGGGAACAAGGATCTCTTAATTTAGGAGATGTTAAACGAATGTTGGATTCTTTGCGACAGAAAATGGCATCATTAGCTGTTTGTGCATCAGTTTGGTTGTGTTCCTACATTAATGTTTCGCACCAGGATGCATTTTTGAAACCTATCAATATGATTCAACTATTCTTAACACCTCCATCTGATGTTGAATTAAGCCAAAATGACAACTTCAAAGAGCGGGCTATATTAATGGGCCCAATCATTAGGAAAATGCAATATGATGTTTACCCACCATCTGTACCAAAGACGAAAGTTATAACATTTTCACATAACATTATTTCCCGTCAACCGATTCTAGAACAATTGCAAACTGTCTGGGCAGATATAAAGACCAGAGGTTATCTTCAATTAGATGCTACTCATATTATTAAGAGTTTACTAAATACAGGAGGACCAGTTTGGTTTGTAACGAATTTAGTAAAAGAGATAATGAAATACAGGCATCAAGATGATTTGAACAGATCAGTAGAAATTGTGCTTGCAATGTTACATTTAGACATTGAAAGATGTACTGAGGCTTTGTTGCTGCATGTGCTGCCACAATATTTGTACAATTCTGAATTGCGTGTAGAATTGGTGGAACCTCAAAGTTCGATGTTAGCAAAATTAACAGTGTATTGCATTTATGCTGCTCTTGAATTCAGTAATTGTAATAAAGTGCCAGTGTCAAGAAAGCGCCGACATGACGACACTGAGGATATTGATGCTTTGTGCACTGCTAATAAAGTTCGCAGATTAAATGACAACTCGTCTGACAGTAGTTCTATGTATTATAATCAGCAACAAACTGTGACTCCTGGACTTTTGAAAGAGCCACTCCAATCTGCTTTGGAGATGATTTACAAATGTTTCTTGCAGTTAGTCACTCAAAAATACGATATTACGCCACAAACATATTTCATTGTACAATTTTTAATATATGCTGTGCAATGTGGTCAAGAAAGGGCTCAGATAGTGCTACAGAAGCTGCCCGCTGAAATAGTTCCGACATTGATTAAGACTCTACCTGATAACTTTTATATCGGACTGATATTGCGACTTAACGATTTGTCTACTCCTCATGGAAGACGGGACATGGCAAGAGATCTCTGCCTCTTACGTAACATGCGTTTACGGCCGGAGTGAAGTATACGTTAAGCGTAGTCTTTTACAATTATGTATCTCTCATTCTATTTAGATTTATTTACAAATTAAGAAAAATGTATTTATTATAGTTTGTCTAAATAAGATATTAGTTTGATAAATGACGCATATGAAGTATCGAACTCAACTAAAATTATTATTTTCTTGTTAACTAATTTACAGGACAATTCTATTATTGATTATAGTGTAGAGAATTTAGCGATGACAGAAATAATAGCCAAATCCAATTCGATTACGTACGGCTGTAATAGTAAGAAACATTTATTTAGTCTCATTATTTGTAATGGTCATTATTAATTTGAGAAAACAGTGGATTCTTTTCAATTCATAAGTTATAACTATGAATTTATCGATTCCAACTTCTGTAAGAATAAAAATCGAAAATCGATAAGATTCATTACTGATTTTACACAACCATCCCTACTAAATTTGAAATGAATTGTCAAACTAATCTAAATTATTTAGACACACTATAACTTATTTAGACACACTGTAACTTATTTAGACAACCTAAATAGGTGTTATTTCAGACTCTAAAATATGTAAGGGAAAATAAAACAATTAGTCAAAGACACTTTATTTTTTTATTTCAATCAACAAGGATAAAGAATTAATTTAAATTCATCAACTTAAAGGATATTTTTATACATATTTTTATTTGTACATAAGATTCACAAACAAAATACAATAATTGACGTCGCGCGATCGACAAATGGCCTTGGAATTGGTTGGACGGAAATAACCAGAATAGGAACAAAACATCTTTCAAACCAAAATATCTATACGTATAAATCTACCTAGTACCTACATAATTTAATTGCATGACAATTCTGGACGGATTTATTGACTGAATAGTGAAACAATAATTTTTTTTTAAATTCACTTCTAAGGAACAATTGTCGATAAAATAAATTGGACAGAAAATGTTTTTCATAATTTTTATGGTACCTGTAGATAACTAATGCCAGAGAATAAATTAATTGTGTATCTTATATATAGGATTTGCTAAACAATACACAAACTACCATGATTGAAATCAATGGAACACTTATATTGTAAAAATATTTACACAAATACAAAAAGTAATTCTAACTAAAACATTCACATTGTATGTGACAAATATTTGAATACTTTTAAATATAAAGTTTGTACAATTTTTATTTACTTGCATTTTTAAATATTTACATTTACACTGTACAAGTTGTAAATCTTATAGATACATAGATCACAGGAGAGTTCCAGAGCTTGCACGTTACAAAAGAACTTATATAGAAATATCGATAGGAATGGGGTAACAATATATTGAACTAATAAATATCATACTATTATGATAAAACTACAGTTATAATGCAGGTTTTTTGGCACCTGGTGAATCTGGATGTGGCCGGTCTGCGAAAAGAAAAAAGTACTGAAGAAAATAGGAACAAGTCAATCATACTAATATTATAAATGTGAAAGTTTAAATGGATGGATGGAGGTTTGTTAGAGTTTGTAGCCTAAACGGCTGAATGGATTACGTGGAAATTTGACACAGAGGTAGAGGATAGTCTAGAAGAACACATAGGCTACTTGCATTTGTTTTTTTAAAATCTCGCGCGGATAGAGTTGCGGGCGAAAGCTAGTGTCATGTAAAACTTCATACATGCCTGATTATGTTCATTCTTGCGGATAATTTAAGATGCAAAAAATTATGTCCCTAATACGATTTTATTTAATGCATTACTTCACTTACCTATTTGCCTTCTTAGAATCTCCCCATCTCTATACTCCGACACTGGACTACTGACCCTCATTGGTAAACTTAATCTATTAGGATTGCAGTTCTCATCGACTGAACTTTCTGCGTTAGTATAAGTCGTTCTTTGACCTCGATTCCACGTCTGCTGATAGGAACTTTCAGTTGTTATTGTGCTACATCTATTGTTAGTGTGAGGAACATATTGTTCAGGTGACCAGTCGAAGACGAATGTGTGACTATAGTTCTGCGTGTACGCAGATGGAGTGCCAGAAGGCGTTGGTGGAGTTGTCGTGACGTAAGGACTGAGATCCTGATGACATACGTCAGGAACCTTTTGTAATGCTGACTCCGACCACGTTGGACTTGGGTTCCATTGATCGACCAAATCCGTTTCTGTTATATTAAAATTCTTTGACCCCGGTCTTCGACTGGCAACACCGGCTGAGATGGCTACTAGCGTTTCTCCTCCAGCATTACCAGTAGACGAGAAACGTGGTGAAAGATTAACTATAGGTATGCTAGTTTTATCGTTGGTTTTTCCTTTCCTTTTCGCATTAGGCTGGATTCTGGTGTCTTCCAATTGGACATTGTGGTACCTAGAAGAGAAAGCTAAAGTTAAATATATTTTTTATAGAGCCAGAAACTAATGATTTACTTGAATACGGTTTTAATTTTACCTGTTATCTTGCAACGAAACGGAGTAATCTACTGGCCCGTTGTCGGTTCTCTCGTAAGCATAATGTATAGGCGTTAAGTGCGGAGGAACGTGTGATAAATGAGGTTGCAGTCCACTGTTGGTCATCATGACTTGGTTGCCATTGATGCATACAGGAGGGGTTTGTGTGTACTGCATAGCCGGTGGGTAGACTTGAATGTCTGGCGGTGGCGGTCCATACATTCTGGTAGCCGCTTCGTAAGCCAATCCGTAGTGTAGTTTGGACTGAACCGCGTAGTAGTGGTAGAGCCACGGATTCGCTTTCATTACGGCAGCTTCTTGCTCACTGCGGACAAAGCATGTCAATTAAACTCACTATTTATAGTATGCTTGTCATGAAAATATTTATAATTCGTAGTAATTTAAACCAAGTAATAAATTGATTCTATCTAAAAGATAATCAATGTTTATAGTCTGTGGATGGCACTTTTGAGATTTCAGATTGTAAGTAGTCCATTTATAATTGTTTAATACTAAATTACTTTAACATAAACGAGCGATGGTGTAAAGAATCGCGACACTTTTCAAACTATGAAACAAGCTTTGGCCATTAGTTGGACCGTGGAATGGTACCACTAAAGTTTAATGTTTATATTAAGTAGTATACTCGGTCCATGTTAGTACACTGCATGTGTAAATTGCCTTCAAATTTATATTACGCCGGTGCGCTCTACAAAATCCAGGCTTCGCAAGACTTGCCTATTATTCGAGTGATTATCATTACAATTTCGTATTGGGTTACTATTTAACGATACCGTGTGGTGAATTCTATAGCTAGGAAAACAGAAATTCAGATTTCAGATTACGCGACATATTCTAGTATTTCATTTTGTAGTGTTTATATTATTTTAGAGCGTCGGTGGCTCAGTGGTTCAAGCACTTGACTTGTAATCTACAGGTCTTGGGTTCGAATCCCGCCATGTACCAATGTGATTTTCCATTTTTCGAATTTAAATATGTACATAATTTACCCGACGTTCTTACGGTGAAGGAAAACATCGTGATGCAACCTGCGCATATCGGCGAAGAAATTCAAAATTATGTGTGAAGTCAACCAACCCGCAGTGGGCCAGCGTGGTTGACTATGGCCTAGTCACCCTAATGGGGACATATAATGAGCTGGTGATGATGATGATGATGATGATATTATTTTACAGTATCAGAAATAACGTCTAGCATAAAAACGTTAACTTTCTTGTTATTTTGAATGAACAGCTGGTTCATTCAAAATAACAAGAAAGTTAAAGGTTTTATTTTAGACTTGATTCTATTGTTATTACCTCAACGTTATATTCAATTTGTGGCACGGTCCCGCAATAACCTTTTGAAAATAATTTTGAGTTTGAGAAGGCAACCTTTCAGCAAGTGGATGCGGGAAATGTCACATAGTTGGACTCAGTCCTGGACTTTAGATACACTCGCTGACAGAAGTCAAATTAACTAAAACATCTTAAATAAAAACAAATAACCAGCGTTTTCTGCGGACGTAGGTTAGCTTCTTTATTTGAAATAATAAAGAAAAAAGGAAACAAAAACATTAGGTTTCTTTTTCTTAATGTAAAAGTAGATTAAGAATCCGAAAATGTGAAACGTTTACCAGAATTTGAAAAACTAGCCCGAAATTTCTATTCATTTAGACCTTCTTGGAAATAAACGAAAATTACTATCATAATAAAACTTTATATATAAGGTTAAAGAACACTTTAAATGGCTAAGAATGAGCAAATGTATTGATTTATGTACAATGGTGTACTAACTCAGATACGTGTTGGACGTCGACAAATCGTTTAGCATTCGCATTGGGAAAGAGCAGATAGTTGTGAAGCGAAAGGGCGCGGATAAGCCGTCCCGTGTTTACAGAAACCCAGCTCGTACTGTATAATGGACTTGACCTACGAACATCGACCGATTCCACGAGCCTATTGACTACTTGTTAATTCTATTTATATATTTAAATTGAAATACGTTGAAAAGTTTATAAAGGATATATACTACAGAAATACTATTGGATAATACAGCCATTGAACTAACAATAAATTGTATTTCCACTTAGTTTTAAACTTAAATTAACTGTAAAATATGTCATTGTTGAAAATACTTTGTGACCACCGAAAATTATCAAACTAATGTTAGCTACAATAGTAGTATTTATGTGGAGTTTCTGTTAATATTATAGCAATATATAAAGACTCTTGAAACCTAATTTAAACGTATAATTCCGTCTCATTGCCTTTTTATTTGTTATCGTTAATCTTAAGGTACCGTTTCGTATTAGAAACGTCTACAGATTTAGTGTAGTGGAGACTCGGCGATTAGTTTTACTAATTAGTGGTCACATTTCATCTCAGCGATAAGGCGAGCTTTGTCCTGCTAAAGGCAGAGACAGTTCGTTACCTATTGACATTTAAGTAACACTGTTTGTTTCCCGTTTCCTATATCGATTTGTTTTGTTACTCACTAACAGTTATGTAACGATTTAATTGCTTTCATTTATTTTAATGTTTGTTTAATCGTTGATTGTTCTCACTGTACTTAATTTACTGGAATTGAACTCGAATTGTTTTTTATTAGTTTATATAGGGTTGGCACTTCTGGAAATTTATAGTTTGTTGCCAAGAAAGCAAGGGTTGACAACAAGTGATCGTTAATCTTTTTGTTGCAGTGTTCTGATGAACTTTTTATTGCCAAATTAATTCTCTATAATAATTAAAATTTGCGACTTCATTACTTAGAGTAATATTCCAGGATCATCTTGTTATGAATAACGGATTGTAATGTGGTATTGTCCATCTGTTC